TTTTTAATTCCACTCTTTGATATTTCATCTCTGCCTTTCTCATTTAAATTCAAAGTCCATTTACTTTCATGCAATAGAAATAGGTCACTTGAACCAAACCAAAACCCCTCCCCCCCAATGTGTGTGTGAGTTGTGTGTTTGATACGTTGTGTGTCTTGTTTACTGAATTCTGTTTATTTTCGTAACTGTTTTGGACTTTTGGTCCATATTGTGTTCTTCGTTTTTCTGTGCTGAATCCAACCGTATAAAGAACTTGAAATTTGGATAAACGGTTGGAAAGTTATAGGCAAAACACTGAACAGAGAAACGAATCTGCCCAAAAACGATCGGTCGTCACTGTTCAGGCGACCGGTGGTTCAGGCGACCGGTGGTTACTGTTCATGGCACTGTTCACAGGTGATAAATAGGTGATAAAAGGGTGATAGAAAGTGCTGTTTCTGTTTTTCTTTAGTTTCTTGTGTTGTTTAATTTCTTTTACATTTCTTTACTCATTTTTAGTTTCCAATTTGCATTTGTACATTTGTGGTGTGTTAAATAAGTGTTCTTTACGTACTCAAATTAGAACTTATAGGAAGCCGACAAGTTCTTCGTGGGATCGACCCTGTACTTACATAATCTATACTTCATTAGATTCGTGCACTTGCGGGTATTTTTAATTGGTTGTTTGCACATTAATTTGTGTCCTTTTAGGAATGCAACAATTATGTAGTCGATAATGGCTCAATTGTTATGGGGCTTCTTCTTCCCTGAAGAACAACGCTACCACTACCAACAACAGTAGCAAAATCAACCAATCAAAATCTAAGTCTAATTGAAATTCTTCCGAATTTAAGAAAACTGATAGTAAGAAGAACGTTCAATAACAAGACTTTGTTTTTTCAAAGATATTTTAGAAATAATAGTAAGTGAAAAGATAAGATTATGTTTTTTCAAACTTACGAGATGATAAGATGGGTTAATAAATGGGACTGGGGTGAAAAAAGCATCACTCTAAAAAAATTCAACATAAATAAATGCCTTGCACTAATGCTTTCCTTGACCAAAAAGAAAATAAAGTTTATTAAATACTTGGCATGGCTTTCAGCCATTGGATCATTTTCAATGGTGTTGATTAAAAGTCTGATACAGAAAACCTAGTAGAGGATCAAAGTCCCACATTGGCATCCTTCCTTTCTCGTAGTGTTGTTGTGGGCTATTCCAAAAGAAGAAAAAAAGAAAAAAGAATCGAAGCGAGAGAAATCTCTGTCAGATTTGCTATGAGAGAAAGCAATTTGGCGTTTGATAAACTCTTTGTTAAAAGTATTGTTGGTACTGATTCCTGCATAATGAGAAAATAATTCCTGCATAGTCATTAAACCCAACGCCAGTACTTGTAAATGGGCCGGGCCGGGCTAGCTAGGCCCAAATTTAATGGGCTTAGGCTGGGCCGGGCCGAGCTTTAAAGAGGAGAGAGAAAACACTGGTTGAGCCGGGCTGGGTTTTTTTAGAAAATTCAAAGCCCAAGCTCGACCCATGGGCCGAGCTTGAGAAATCCTATTGGGCCGGGCCGGGCTAAGCTTAACAGGCCGGGCCGAAACGAGCCTACTTCAATTGAAAAAAATCATAAATTTAATCATAAAGGCATTTTAGTCCAAATTTGAGATTAAAGTCACTTAATTCCAATATTCTCACATCAAACCAAATTCATAAAACACGCAATAAAGTCACACAACCCAATAAGATTTTCCACAAAAATAATAAAACCAAGTATTATTTTTAAGGTTATTACATAATTAGACCGTAATACGTTTTAAAAAATAATAAGTATCAAAAAAATATTTTTTTAAAAGGATGATATGAATAAATATGCAAATGTTTGGTGATGTGTTCAAGAAAAGCATGATTATATTTGGTGGTACAATTATGTTTCGTGATATGATTATATTTGGTGATATGATATGTTGTTAATCTTATTTATATATATATATATAAAATTGTTGTATTAATAATTGACACAAATTAATGTTCTAATCATTTAATTATAAACTAGGAATGAGTAAAGAAAGTAATTGAAATGAAACAAATTATATATGTGATTTAAGTGATGTAATCATAATCCTAAATTCTTATTTATACATAATTATATATGTATGCGGGTCTAACGGGCCGGGCTTTCTTGGGCTTAATCGGGTTGGGCTGGACTTCAAACACCCAAGCCCAAGCCTAGTCCAGCCCAAAACGAGTCGGGCCATTTCAAAGCCCATAACGGACCGGGCTTTTTTTCGATGGGCCGGGCGGGCCCCAATCGGCCCATGAGCCCACGGGCCAAATGATGAGGTCTACCCAACACCTCTTCGAAACTTATTCCTGCATAATCAGAAAATAAAAGCACCTCATTAGCTGCTTTCCCTTATAGCTTTCTCTCATAATAATTTTTAACAATAAGTGATTTTCTCATAATTTACCAAACGGCTTGGCTTTCCAAATTTTTTAAAAAATAACTTATCACCTCAAATAAGTAATGCCAAACGGGCACTGAGAACTAGAAAAAAGAAAGGAAGAAGAAAAAGGGGGAATCGAGAGAGACGAAAATGGCGAGGAAGTCAGGGGTTTTGATACGACAGTTGTTTGGCAATTGCAGCAACCCCTGTGCGGGTCTTCTTCATCATCGTCGTAAGCTTCTTTCTAATTCAATCCAAACCCTAACCCCAAATACAATCCCGAGTACAACAGAACCTTCACTCTTCGCTTGCAAATTACCCTTGTCCTCGCCAAACCTTCATTTTGTTCGACGCTCAGATTCAGGTATGCCCTCTTTCTCTTCCACTTTCTGCTTCTGATTTTGTTGTTGCCACTGATTCAGCTATTTTTACAGGTCTTTTATTTTCAAGTCCCCCAAAAGTGGTCATCATTTCGCAGGTTGACGACTATAAAAGGGCAGTTAAAGAGGTTGAAGGTAATAGCCATTTTTCTTTGTTATTATATTAAAATTATCAAAATATAGTGTATTAGTGTATTTTATGTTTCGTTTTCTGTGCCGATTACTTATTAGTGTTGGATTATAAGGGCCTCGCCTACTCAACGGGCTCCTGGTTTGCACGCAGTAAAGGGATTGGCAAACCCAGCTTCACTAAGCTCGGCAGCAATCTCTAAACTTGCTTGTAATTTTTTTAGATTATTGAAAATTGCATAGAATTCTTATGTATGTCAAGTTTTGTAAATGTCAGAAATTACATTGAAAAGAGTAAATTGCAAAATGACACCTCGTTTGGTGGATATTAAACTCAATCTCGATCTCCAATTTCCACAATTTTTTCTGCGTGTCATTTAAGAAGTTTCATGCTTAAATTGCCAAACAATGGAAACGTCAATTTCTCTTCTTCAATTCCCGACTTTTAGCTAAATCCCGAGTTATTTCCCTCTATCCAAATGTAGGGTTATTTTTTCACATGTAATTATATATATATCTATGTTTTCATTTTGACAGATGGACTTTTGCCAGCGGTTTTCTACTTCATTCGTCATGATCGCTCACCTAGTAAGTTATAATGAATACACTTTTATAAATCAATCATTCCTTGTGCCTTTGAAACTTATTTTTGGTGTACTCTTCTTGGGCAGTGTGGAGTGTGGCATCTGAGAAGCTTCATAACTTGAGGAAGCAATTCCCACATGTAACCTTATATAAGGTTATCAGTATTCCTGTGGTATGGCATTGTAATCTGGCCTTCTCTTAACTTGAATCATTTTGGAACTGTTTTTCTTAATGTGAAATGTTTGAATCCCATCTTAAGATTAAGGTGAGAACAGCGTATGGATCTTTAGATTAATAAATTTATGTATTATTTTTTTTCAATTCATGGTTTTTTAAGTGAAAGTAGTTTATCTTTTTTTCTTTTTTAACTTCCTAGCTTGGTTGAATGTGAAGTTTCAATTTTAGTCATTTTTTGGGTTCAAGAAATGTGCTAAAGACATCACTATGGACAAGGAGTCGACAACAAAACAAAAGTAAATATTGTCCCACTATTGCGAATCTAAACTACTAAACTTTTTACCTTCTACTTTCCAAATACATTTTGGATCCTGGTGAGGACATCATTGTCAAACCACATAGAGTCTATGAGGGAGAGAGATGGAAGATGACTAATCATAATCCACTGATGTCTTTGTGGCTGGATTAGATGCTCTTCATTTTATAGAGTTCTCCAGCAGAGACTTTTCATATTTTCTGTTGTTTTCTAGAGTTCTCTGCAATTTATTTAAAGTCTTTGAAAGAGTCTTTAATAAAGTTAAGAGTCTTTTAGTTCTTGTCATAAGTCTAGTACATATATCAAGTAATAAAGTCTTTGTGCATGTCGTAGTAGTAAAGTCTTAGTACATGTATCAGTAATAAAGTCTTGGTACCTGAATTTAGAGTCTGTAATTGGGTATAAAATATGTAAGTGCCTTGAGCAAGGGCAATGAACTTTGATGAATAAACAGTTATCAGAAGTTTTCTGGTCTACTTTCCTGAGATGGAAATTTTGGTGTGAAGGCTAGTTTTGGTGCGAAGCCAAGTTTGGTGTGAAAATTATCAATCATTGCCCTCATCTTTTATTACTAAGAGGTTTGCTTTTTGATTTCCATTAGCCTTTCAAGTAAGTATTTCCATGTTAATATTCCAGCCAATTTCTCTCCATTGCCTTGTTTCTATACTTGTTTTTAACTAAAGCATATAGAAAGATAATCTTGAACCCACAACCTTCAAAGCTCCATAATCTATATGGGACTAAAGACTTAAATTAGACTTTGAACAAACCCTAAACTAGAGGTATCTACACTATGCTTCTAACCACTTAACTTCTAGATTTTGAGGAACATATTGTGGGGGATGAAGTTAAATAGTTTCATGATTGTTTCTTACTGTGATTTCTTTGCTATGTAAGTTGGGCGTTTATGACTAGTAAGTTTCTAAGCTTGAGTTAATCCTTAAATTGATCTTGGCTTTTTAGTTATTTCATATCCTGCATCAGATCCTTTTACGCTTAAACATTGCATCTTTACTGAATGCATATATGCCCTTTTGGTACAGATTCTAGGGAAACAAACTGTCATTACTTTTCTAATACTAAGAGAAAATTTGTTGGTGAATATAATTTAACAGTCCATGATACTAAGTAGAGATTAAGTTTTCTTCCTGGGGTTTCCTAGGACGGTTGTGATGACATCACAATGCTTAGTACGACCATCCATTCCTTGACCCATTAAATACACTGCTGACCATTGCATAATTTTTTTTCTTCTTCTATCTTTATCAATTCTTCTTAATACTTTAAAATTGTGTTAAAAATAAATCCTCTGGGGCCCAATGTTTCCATTTGCATTCAACAGTCTTCGTTTGTTTTATAGGCCTATATGTGTTCCGGGTAAAACATAAATGGTGTACCTGATAAAACAAATTTATTTTCAGTATCTGTGTTAACTGCTTGCTAGTGTGTTATTTTTTTCCGCACTGTAATTATTATTCGTCGTGCAGCTGTTTATATAAGAGTTATAATATTATATCTTGTTATGCCTCTAAATTAGTATCCTGACATTGTTTGCCTATCTATAGTTCGACACACAGGAAATACTGATGTCTTTCCTTCCTGATTTTCAGGTAAATGATTCTATCCTTTTTTAAATAAAAAAAATGTAAATGCCATTTCTTTTGCTGATACTGATGTCTTTCCTTCCTGATTTTCAGGTAAATGATTCTATCCTTTTTTAAATAAAAAAAATGTAAATGCCATTTCTTTGCTAATTGATCTAATTGCTCATCTATTTAACCTTTGCTTTTAGAATACAATAAAAAAATTGTTGTATTTCTTATCTAATTGATAGTTTAGAATAGGGTTAATCGTTTTACTAGTCTCTGAACTTAGACCCGATTTGCATTTGAGTCCCTCAATTTGCAAAATCGTTCCTGTGGTTCTTTAACTTCACTTTCGTTAGGACAAATGGTCCTGCCATCAATTTTGTCAACTTTTTCTGTTAAATGCAGGGGCAAATGGTATTTTTATATTAAAACCAAGGTTTGGAGAAAAAGAAAAACCTCTTTTGACTTTGCTAAGATAGTTGAATGTGAGAGAGAGAGAGAGAGAGAGAGAGAGAGTTTAATTTTAATTTTTTATTCATATTTTAATTAATTTAATACAAAAATACCATTTTGCCCCTGCATTTAACAGAAAAGTTAACAAAATTGACAGCAGGACCATTTGTCCTAACGAAACTGAAGTTGAAGGACCACGAGAACGATTTTTGAAATTGAGGGACTCAAATGCAAATCGGGTCTAAGTTCAGGGACTAATAAAATGATTAACCCTTTAGAATATATAGCTAAACGTACAGTACTTAGCTGGCAGGAAAGGGGCTGAGCAGTTTGATTAAGCTGAATAAATATAATTCAGCCGGGCTTACATCTGAAAATAGAAATTTACTTTGCTGTTGTGTGGATTTTTGCTGCAGCCAACATTCCATTTCTATCGAAATGGGGGTAAGGTAGCTAAGGTTGGTGAAGTTGAGTTGCAATATGCTTTTGCAAAGTTCTACAGGTAAATTCATTACGTTACATTTTCGTGCTTTTGCATATTTCTGTTGCGGTCAAATATTGGTGCCTATTGGTGTTTTTGATAGTTCAAATGAACTTTTTTCTTAATGTGATTAGTCATATGTTACTCAATCTTTTATTTCTATCTTTCTGATATATGGATGAATTCTATATCATAGTTACAAAACCCTATTATTCATGTGTCCTTGCTACTTTAAGGTATGTCGTCCCAATCGAAACCACCCAACCTACGAGTTCATTTGGGATGGGGGAGAGGAGAGGTCAACAACTTGTCATACGAGCTAAGAAAGATGAGAATGACATAGGAGTTGTAAGAGGGTGGAAAGTGGGACGTGCCGAGGAATTATCGCAGCGGAGAGGTGTTGTGACACTGTCAGAGCAGAGAGGTGGCCTTGTTGACGCTGTTGAGAGTGGTACTGCACCTTCACTTCATGAAGTGATGCAGGCTGTTGAATCTTTACCCGGGGGGCAGTTAGGTAGTTGTTTGTGGTGGTTTGCAAAAGGGCTATTTGCATATAAGCCTGAGAAGAGAGTGATGTTTTCTAACGTGCAAGGGCTGTACTTTAAGGTTGATTGGCTTCTTCATGAAATGGCTGAGGAATAAGTTGGATGGATGCGCTTAAAGTATGAATTATATATTATGCTGTTGACGATATTATTGTTTGCACTTGTCCGGTTGTTTAAATTTTGGATAGATAACCTTATGTTGTAACGTTTGTTAGATAATTATTAAATAGTCGCCTAAGCACTTGTGACTTTTATTTGGATAATTATTATTATATGTTTGGCTTGTGTTTGGTGTTCTTATTATCTGCATTCAAAGAACACATGTAACGCACCTTCCTAGCTCATATCATGCCAAACCTATAGCCCAACCTGTACTTGAATTACCTTAATGATATCTAGAACTGGTTAATTTTCTAACCGCATATCTAATGGTATATAGCCACGTGGCTTTAAATAAAATATAATAAAATATATTTTAAATATTTTAAAACTTAATTTAAAAAAAAAACAAAAAACAATGAGACCTGCACCATAACTGTTCTCTGTCTGCCAGCGCCTCCCCCCCTTGCATACCCACTCTTTGCCTCTCTCCCTCCTCATCCTCCTTTCTCCCTCTACCCCTCATCCTCCATTTTTACAGGTTGATCCAACCAAACATTGCCCCTCATTTGGTCAGTCTTCCACCATAGCTTGATTTATGGCCCCACAGATTGGCTGCAGTGCCAAATACTATATGGGATATATTTGTTTTGGCCTCTTGGGGTTTAATGGGAGGCAAGGAAACTTTCGGTTTTGGGACATGGCAGCAAAAGATTGTTGTTGCCTACAAAGATTGGAGGACAAAGATCACATATAGTCTTTGGCCAAAGGAAGGCCAAAGCCTTTTAGCTTTGTACAATTAAAAAAAAGGGAAATGCTAGCAACTTTTTCTTTTGGACCTCATCCCTTTCTCCTAATGACATGTATCACTTTACTTACACTTAAAACAATGTCATTAATACATCAGAAAAGTTACCTTTTGTTTTCCAAATTTACCTTACTAAATGTATTAGCTTTCATGTTTCTTTCAATTTATCCTTTTTTTTATAATTTTTTTACTACCTTGTTAAAAAATTAATTTAAAAGTGGCATATCATATATTGATGAAGAACCACATGTGGTGAAAAATTCAAATTCACGTGGAAACAAATTTGTATGAACATGCCTTGTCTTGGTTGTATGTTGATGTTGAATTGGCTAGAATGATGTAGGTATAACAAGAATTGTTTTTACCATCTCATCCATTTCCGCCACTTGAAACTAATTTTTAGATTGTTTCATGCTGCTTTTTTTTTTTTTTTTTAAAATTTAAATTTATTTATTCATTTTAAAATTTAAAATTTAAAATTTATGTTAAAAGACTAATCCTACGACAATTGAATTGATTATACGTTTGAGTTTTATGCTATTTTAAAAACCGACGTTTTTTTTTTCTTATTTAATTTTTAACAAGCTGATAAGAAGTAAAAAAAAAAAAGATAAATTGAAGGAAACATAAAAGTCAATATATCTAATAACGTAAATTGGGAAAATAAAAGATAGCTTTTATGATGCATTAATGACATTGTTTTAAGTGTAAGTAAAGTAACACATGTTATTAGGAAAATGGAGAAAGTCCAAAAGAGAATGTTAGAGAGAAGATTGCAAGCATTCTCCTTAAAAAAAATAGAGAGAGAGAGAGAGAGAGAGAGAGAGAGAGAGAGAGAGAGAGAAGGTAGGAAGCAAAAAATGGATCTGTGAAGGGGGGAGGGGGAAGCACTAGCAGAGGGAGAACGCAGAGGGATGGTGCAAGTCTTTTTGTTTTTATTTTTTTTATGGATTCAAGTTTTAAATGACGAAATAAGAGGTTTTCTATTTAAACCCCACACTTTTCTTTGTTCACCCTAATACTTAAATAATTAATCTCTTAAGTTTTATTATTATGTAAAAAGACAAAAAATGTCATCCAACTTAATACATAATCCTAAACCCTACACACACCCCACCACTCTTCATATTAAGTTTTAGAAAAACACAAACTCATCCGAGAGAGAGAGAAAGAGAAGGCATGAAGCAAAAAATGGGTCTGTGAAAGGGGGAGGGGGAGGCATTGGCAGAGGGAGAATGCAGAGGGATGGTGCAGGTCTTTTTGTTTTTGTTTTTATGGATTTAAGTTTTAAATGACGAAATAAGAGGTTTTCTATTTAAACCCCACACTTTTCTTTGTTCACCCTAATACTTAAATAATTAATCTCTTAAGTTTTATTATTATGTAAAAAGACAAAAAATGTCATCCAACTTAATACATAATCCTAAACCCTACACACACCCCACCACTCTTCATATTAAGTTTTAGAAAAACACAAACTCATCTACACCCTATTGCCACATTACTCATCTCTTTCAATTCAAGAAACCTATTACACTCTCATCTTCTCCTTACAAACCCTAAATACGGTATGCAAATAGTGGCTTGTGGATCGTCAATTGAGGTATGTAATATGAGAAGTCGCCATCAGGAAGACCACCTGTTGATTTCCCCAAGCAAACTTCTAAATTTTGTGCAAGAATTTGATCAGGGCTCCTCAAGGAAGGTAAAGACTGTGAGTCTCTCTGTTTTACAATAAGTAATGATAGCTGGAATTAGTTATTAATCATTAAGCTTCAAAGTAGAGTGGTGAGAGGCAAGATAGCAGGTTGTGGGGTTGATGCTAGGTGTGTATTAGAAGTTGAGATGAACTTAAAATATGGGGTGAACAAAGAGAGGTGCAGGGTTTAAATAGAAAACTCTACAAATCGTTGGACCTACGGAAAAGAACGAAAACGGGGATGATAATAAACAAGAAAAGAAAATCTCTCTCAAGGAATTTCCTTGATTAGAAAATTTAAAACAGTTATAAAAAAAAACCCTCACAACTGGGGAGCGGATCTGCTGTCCTGAAATTGCGGGTCCCCTCATGTTAAAAAATAAAATGTATTAAACAAAACCCCAAAATATGTGTATGTGCGTCTTCTCCATATAATGAGATACATAAATTCCAATCAAATCCTTGGTTCAATCTTTGGAAAGGGTTTTCTTTTGAAACAACGAGGATGGAGAATAAGCTCGCGTGTTTTGGGGTTCTTTTCATATAGAAAAATTGAACTGTGTTAAGTTAGCTGACATGTATCAACAAACTAGTGGGTGGACACCCAATTTGGGGACAATGAATTTGCTCCCCACAAATGCTTGCATTTTTCATTGCACACGGCTTTCCCTATGTATACCTCTAAAATTCAGTTCCTTCCCTATACACGAGAGGAAGGAGAGTATTCTGGTAAACCCACGTGCAGATTTAAAGGCGATTAAATGTTCATTGCCGCTTGAATATGTCATTCATATTCTTCATGACTGTTCTAAGGCTAGAAATGTGTGCAATGCTATTCTTACTCATAGCCAAAGTACTTGCCTTTTCAACCTGGATTTTCAGCCTTGGCTTAAGATAAATCTAATGTCAAAGATTGTTTGGTCTGATGATATTCCTTGGAATCTGCTTTTTATCTTTACTTGTTGGTACATTTAGAAATGGAGAAATTATCAGGTGTTTCATGCTTACGAAGATCTGATTATTGACCCCTGTTTGGGCCTAAATTTGACACACTCAGCCGACCAACAAATAAATCAGGCCAAGACTATACACTCGACCCAAACATTGGAGGCCCAGAAACTATCAAACCGCGAGAATGACTTGGGCCTCGAAGGAACCCAAATTGGGCTTAAACCCAAAATTGGGCTTGGCAGGTTGTTTTTTAATCAAACTTGAAACTCCAAACTTATAAACCCAGAATATTCATGTTAGGTTACATCGAAGCCCTAGTTATGAAATTAGCTGCTCATAATGAAAAATAAACTCATATAGAAATGAGAAAACATAAGGAATGCAATAAGAATAGAAAAAACCCATTTTCTGAAGTTCTTGTGGTGTCCAAGACTTCTTCAAGTGCTTCGCCACGTCTAATGCTTCTCCAAGAGCTTCCCCACGTCTAGAATGATGTATGACAGCTAGTAGGTGATTTGGGATGAGTTTGGGTGAGTGGTGATGGTTGAGAAAGAGGATATTCGTAGGGAAATGGAAGGGAGGTTTTCTGGAGCTGTTTTGGTGATTTGGGGCAGTTTAGAGTATTGGGTTGCTTGCTAGAGTGTATGGGGTTGATGGGAGTGTATGAGGATGATTTCAAGATGTGTTGATGGAATGATGGAAGTGTGGAGGATGGCTGAAGTGAATTTTGTAGCTTGAAGACTTCTCTATTTATAGGGCTAAGAGGGAGGAACATCATGATGAAATCCAACACCACCATTCCTTTTTTAATACAACCCATAACTCCCACTTCATCTTGTCTATGTTAGTGTGGTTGGAATCAATTCCATCTCATACTTCTTTTGCTGCACCTCAAGCTTTCTTCACATGGGTTGCCAAAGGTGTTCAATTGTGGCTGCCTTTTGCTGCCAACCCATGTGGGATTTCTTTTGGTTGCTGGAAATAAAAGATTCTTTTGAACCAGGCTTGGTGTATGAAGGCCTGAGATTTCAATATGTATCCAATGGGGCTCCAATTTGGATATGTCATAATAGACACCCATTGGAACAACTTTTATGAAGAATGCATTCCCATCTGAGTAGTATAAGTATATGTTTTGGGCCTTGCAAGTTGACTGCCGAACATAGACTGGAATGTATGGTGTGCATTTCGATGGGCCCACGGATTGGGCTTGGCTTCATCAATTGATACATTTGAGTAGTCCATCTTGCAGTTCAGAATCTCTTCTTTCCAATCACATATTAATTGGGCCAATACAAGTTGGGAGGAGGAAGTTAAGGCCGAAACAAATTGCTAACTCAGTCTGCTCGTTTTTGCACCATTTTGCATCTTTTCTTATCCAAAGCCACAATTGCTACCTAAGGCCCAATGAACTGAATGATAAACAGAAAAAGGATTAAAAGCACAAGTTTAACTCAATAACATAATCAAATCATAAGTTAGAAGGGTACAAAATGATATATAAATATGCACCGATCAGATACTCAATTTAATTGGGGGTTACCCAATTAAATTGGGAGTTACCTAATTAAAATTGGGACTGATTTGATTCCTACCCCAATTAGGGATTTGATTTAAATCCAATAAATCAAATCCCTAATTAATCAAATCTCACCTAATCGGGGAGGAATAATTCCTTTCCATCTACGGAATTATTCCTCTGAAACCCTAGCCTCCAAGGCTCCTA